AACGCGTACTGCGGCGTTAAACAGCAGTTATCATAACAAAACAGCTTCAAAAACTCCGTGTTGTGTTTTCCCACTGAATCACATCTTTTGATTCTTGTTTTGCTTGATAACCAAGGAGGAAGTAATGATAAGAAATTGTAGAAATGAGAACCTTGGAAGTGTTGTGGATGTTTACCAGAAATTCCAAGCAGGTAATAAAAATAAGCGTCGATCAAAAACAAGTGAGTTTGCCGGGCGTGTTTGTATGACGGTACAGGTCAGACGGGTTGTAAAGCCTTTCATTGGAGAGAAAGAGTTAAACGTTTGGTACAAGAAATAATACAAGAAGTACTTCTAGCGGTTTATGTGAGGTGTGGGCAAAGATGATAAAGTGGCAAGTGACACCTCATACTACTCATGTAGTCAAGAGGTTAAGTCTTAGATTGTCTCCCTGTGCCATTCACGCCTCCTAGGTCGGCTGGTGTAGACTTACTTGTATGAGAGGAAACCGTACGGACTTAGACAATGGTTGACCTCCGCAGGTGTGTAGGCCATATAAATGAAGTATTTCCAAAAAACTTCTGTTTGTTTTTCGAACGAACCTCAGGCCATAGTGTTTTCAGTGAGCCACTGCTATTTTCAGTGAAAGTTGAAAGCGCGGCGCATCGCAACCCATCCAAAAAAGGAATTGTTCACCATCGAAAGTTAATCCTTCTACTTTTTGCGCAGTGTTCCATGTGTGATTATACAGTTTTGTGTTATTTCTACGTGAATAACGTGACAATAGGTGAATAAATACGACCGAGCAGGTATGACGACACACGAGTAGACGGGTGCTCAAAATAGGTACAAGTACCTAAGTTGTCTCTATATAGTCGTGAATTTCCTTTACTGTTTTTCCCCTTCTGGATTAGGAGATGTGGTAAGGATGTAGTGGTAAGCGGCTTCCACCACATGGATAGTCCTTGAATCTTGTTCCAGATCCACTGACCAATGCTCATCACTCCTCATATCTCTTGATCCATAAACACTAGAAGGGAAAAAGCCCAAAACATCTCAGTACACTTCTTAGTATCACAATATCGCAAAGCTTGGCCTACGACGGCTGAATGAGGGTTGCGGATAGACGAAGAAGCCCTGACTACAATGGGCAGACTTTACTCTAAATGGGATCACTTGTTCAGAAAGTTTTAGGAGTCCAGGATAGTCGAGAAAGCGAGGAAAATGATGAAGTCGAACAAACAAACTTGAGAATACCTAAGACATATGGGAGACCCTATTGCAATGGGCGAAATATACATTTGAACTCTTAGTGCTCAGTACAAAAGTTCACGACTGGTTTCCATGAAAACCCCGAGATCAGGAGAAATGAGACGTTAAGCCACGGGCTACTCTTGGCTAAACACTCATTTCAGTCGTCGCGTGAGTCAAGGTGAGGCGATTAAAATATAAGATTCGTAACGTGGAACCGAGACAGCTCAGAGGTGGAGAGGACCGACAATAGATAATGACGGGTTTCCATCGAAAACCGTGGCG